AACAATTGGTCGACGACTTTTGGGCAACCGTGAGATCCGCCGAAAGTGCAACAGGAAACGTTGGTGAACGCGGAGACAAAGTTGCTGCAATGGCAGAACAACTGTTCCAAGTTATCAAAGAAAGAATGACATCGCTGGTGATTGGGAAGATAAAGACGTTCGTCGTTTTCCCAGTCAGAGACAACCTTCTCTCCTGGCTACTCGATGGATTTCTTGGCCTGGCTCCAGACAAGTACGAGCAGCTATTTAACTTCAGTGAAGAGGCGCTCAGAAAGCAGGTTGCTGAATTGCATCAACAACACACTGTCTGCGAGCAGAACTACATGAAGTTTACTGGAATGATAAAGGAATTTGACAACTCTCAACCCGAAACACAAACCAAAGAGCGAGAAATGTAATTTGTTTGTATTTTAAGAGTTGTTTAACTAAAACTTACAAAACACAAAAAGATCTTTGATGCGAATCTTAAATATTAAAAATGACTTTTCAAAAATGAAATAAAAAATGTGATTGTTTAGAATTATTTCCTGAAATATTCCATTTGTAATTGTCTATAAAAAATAAAAAATAATAAATGACTTTTAAATTTCATGTTGTTTGTATATCAACACATTAATTAAACAAATGCATTGTTTTACATTAGAAAATAAAAGTTTAATTGTTATTAATTGATTTCTATAGTTTATCCACCCTTTTTCAATTTAGAGGAATGAAAATTGAGAGAGAATTTTCATTCCTCATCTAACTTTGAAATGAACATAAAAATGTTTTTTGAACGAATTGTTTTTTCTAAAATAACCCACTTAATTTTATTAATATAAAAATAGACTTTACAAATCTGATGACATTTTTTTTTAAACAAAAAAAAATGTTTGTTATATTATAATAATAAAGTTTATTAGATAATTTTTAATCATATATTTTTAAATAAATGAAAGAAGTATAAATTTGCTTTGTCCATTTTTAATTACTCCCAACAAACTGAAAAGTTTCATTTGCTATTTTCATCTTATTTATACCACTATTTTTTATTGTATTAGTAAATATTATTATTTAACTATAAATTTATAATACTATTTTATTATTGAAAACCATCTAAAAAACTAGAGAAAGTCAATGAGAAAGTGGAAACGATTACACAAATAATGAAACCATTTGATACTAACAATTAATTATAATGAATAGAATAATTTGTTGAGCGGAGGAGAAAAAACGATTAAGGAAAGAACACCCTTTTTGAAAAAACGAATGAAAAGAAAAAGAAATATTCTTTTGGAAATAACACTCCAAAAAAATATCAAAACTATTCAATTCATTTAGATAAAAAACCTCTTACATTTAGATAGAAAATGCCTAAGATATTTTAAAAATAATTGACCAAAGAATTCCACACTTTGTACTTCTATTCAGTAAACTCGGAGGAAAAACATTTTTGAAACCGAATTTGTTTTAAGTCTATGAACTCTGAATGAACTAACAAACACAAGAAATGATGGACACAAATCTTCAAGCAAATGGTCCTTTGCCCCCCGTTTGTCTTCTTCTTAACAATCAATACAACTGTACTAATTTTTAGTTGCCACCAAAACCACATCGAGCAAAACTGAACTTGACTCAATCCATTCGATCACCTCTTCAAGAATCAACCGACTTTTCTCCCCTCGACGACCACTCACTCAAAGATAGTCCTCGATCTATGGAGGTTTTCAAAACGCCATCTCCACAAAGTTTTGTTCCCGTTTTGCCACAACGACAAACATCACCACTTCCACTCAAGACCCCAAGGTCGCCACGAATAAGAGTCGACTCCGGCAACCCATTCAGTTGCTCT